TCTGCACTGTGTCAGTAATGGAGACCTGCTGAACACTATTAGCTGCTGTTAGCTGCTATTGCAACAGGAGCATACATCACTGAACTTCATGAGTGAGGCCGTGACTCTGAATGCATTACAAATGTACCCCTACACCAAAAACTATCAGTGTTGGTCAAGTTTGAGTGCTCTAGGCCTGGTCCTGGAGAGTTAGTCTCAAGCAGAGTTTAGTTCTAGACCTAATCTTAAAACTCTTTGTTTTAATATTAACTGTTAATAAGTATTAATAATTAATAAACTCCAGCCATGCCCTTGTACCATGCTCATGCAGTTGTACCACACACTACAATGCCACAACCATTTTAGTGGCACTGTTGTGCTAAGAATTGTCTACTATTGATATAATCAGGTCAGTGGTGGTCCTCACATGGTTCCCTTTCATTGTTGGACAAGATAGAGGTGGGCTGACAAACAACAACAGCCAGTTATTGTATGCCTACAAAGTTCACCTATAGTATGTACATGGTAAATTGCCCAGTAACTATAGGTATAAGGTAGGTCTGCTTAATAACCTCACAACTCAGCGTAGATGCCACCGAAGCTAGCCTCATCTGGTGTGATTGATTTGGACCCAAACTCTATAGGACCATTGCTGTCCATACGCAGGTATGGAGACACTTGATCTAGCTTGTCAGGTTGAGAGCCATTTGCTCACTCCACTTTTACTCTCATTAAGCGCTAGCTCCCACCTGCTGCTTGGAGGCCTTCCTGCTCTGTAATGAGGAGCATTGATCAGCAGGCAACATTAACTCATGTCTATCCTGCTCCCCAGCGGAAGGAGGGCCAAGCTGGGCACATCTTGTGCGCAGGGCTCCAGGGGCTTGGTTCTGTCTGGGCCCTCTGCCATCTGACTGCTCTCCACCACACTGAGAGGCTGCCCACAGTCTGTCCTCTCAGCTGTGGAGCTGAGGGGGAGCTGGGTTAGCTCCCTCAGGAAACGGCCAGGCTGCGGCCTACAGGGCGAACAGAAGGGAGGCTGGGAGAGAAAAGAGAGAGTGTATGTTAGAGAGAGAGAGAGACACAGCTCAGTTCATCCCTGTTCCCTGTGCCTTGCACCCAGCTTCACCAGAACAATTAACTGCAGGCTAAAAGAGTCCGCTTTCGTGAGTGCTATTTTTCGCTCCATCTTCTGCTGTGTGCAAGAGTCAGTGCTGCAGGCAAGAGAGACAGTCAGAATGAGAGAGAGAGAGAGAGACTGAGCAAACGAAAATGTGGGTTGCTCAAGGCTATGGGCCTTTGCTCTATAATGCCAACTACCCAAATCCCATTTTATTTATTTCAATGTTTGAATATTAATGTTGAATCTTGGCCTATTCAACCACTTCCTCTCGACTTTGAATACATTACATACATTATTACATCAGCCCCCACAGCTATCCACCTCCTGCAATATTCACACTAGTCCTCTAATTGCCTCTGTTAAGTGCTGATCGCTGTCTGTATGTGTGTGTGTGTCCAGACTGAGGAAAAAAGCCACACGAGCAGATCCCTCTGTCATATCCAACAACCTTTTTATTAAGCGCTAAAGCTGCCGCTGGAGAGATTCATCACTGTAAATCAAAGACCCACCAGTGGGAAGCCAGAGACTGAGAGAGAGAATCATTTGTTTCCTTTTTACTAGCTTTTTTTTAAGTAAAATGACCAGACAGCATTGTTTTCCGGAAAGCCCCTGTGTGAGGAAATGTCACAAATTCAGTTCAGAATGACTGACTAAGATATTTACTATTTTGTGCACAATTATTTGGGTAACACTTTCTATGAATGTCACCTTTGTAAGCATCTATAAACACATTCATAACATGTTATAATGCATTCATAAGACATTATAAACATAGCTATAAATATTTATAAAAATGCATTATACATTATAGCCATGTTTATTATGCATTATGAATTGTTAACATAATGCATTATAAGTACTGATCATAACAAATTATAAGAGCTCATAAGTGGTATTTGTCCACTCTAAGTAAAGTGAAGCATACTGTACTAAAGCCACCTCCAGTGTTAAGAGTGAGGCTTTAAGTTGAAGTATTTACTGAAGGATTTACTGAAACACTAAAACATACACAATAAAGCACATTACAGGCTTCAAATGTCAGAGTTTAAACTAATGCTGCTATCAGTGTTTTACCCAATGTGGGAAAGGTAATGTACACCAGCGTTAGCTTGGTATTTGTCTTTACTTTACCCTCTCCAAGCTGGGACTGACTTCTTTGGCACTGACATTATAACATGTTATTAACACTATTTATAATACATTATATTAACAATTCATAATGTTATAATAAACATGGCTATAAAGTGTAATTCAGTGTAATTCTTTTTTATAAATATTTATAACCATGTTTATAATGCCTTATGAATACATTATAACATGTTATAAATGTGTTTATAAATGCTTACAAAGGTGACATTCATAGAAAGTGTTACCATTATTTGCTTTAAAAACACCTTTTTCGTCCGTAATCTTGCTCTTGCTCAACTCTCTACTACATTATCCTTCTGTTAGTGGGCTTCTTTTGCTACTTTTCTAGTGAAGCAAAGCAGACCTCTGTGCAAGCGTGGCCCTGGAGGGCGAGTGTTTAGCACCACAACAGACAAACACACAAATAAACACAGCAGGCTGATAGGGGGAGAAAGGCCCATTGTCTCAGCGCAAAAGTCCCCCTCAGTCCAGGGAGGTTAGGAAAACAGTGCACTAAGCGCCGTGTGGTCCAGCCGCACAGGATGTTTGGCCCTATCGCCCAGATCAGGTTCCTATTTCAATATTATGTTATTGCTGTGTCCTCAGAGAGGGTCCATGAAGCTGTCCCTGGGCCTTCGTGGAATGGGCTCTGGAGGTGCTGCCTCTACAGAAATGAAAACTTTAATTGAATTATTTGCTCATAACTTAGGCCTATATATTTGGTTTGCAGATTAACGGTGCTTATGTGTTAAACAGTGTTGAGATTTTCAAACCAGCATTATTTGTTTTTGGACTTTGGACCCATTTGAGGACACTACTCATTTAAAGAAGCCTTCATTCATGGGCTTGCATGAAGAAGAATATAATGATTCCATTTTAATACTTTCTTTAACCTGCCCTCACGAACTTTGGCTCACTATGCAGAAGTGCATCGCACCAGTGTTACACAAGTGGCCGCTTGCAGTAGCAGTGGATTAGGGGACAGTGAAGAGAGCAAGTGAGAAATGACATTGAGAAATCTGAACATAACATACATATATTTTGTGAATGTTTGCTTTTTCTGGATAAAAACATTGGCTGTGGTGGATCGTGTAGGCTGTGTAGCCTTTAGCTTGCTAACTAGCATGTTAGCAGAGCAGTGTATGAAGTTATATCAGCAATCATGGTTAACAAATTAATTAGTTTGCTCCATGAATTCCAGTTTGAACATAGCAAATCAACTGTTATAGTTTTGAAATGCACTTTGTAAGCTCTTTTTGTTAAAAGTCAGGAAAATCAGGGAAAAAAAAACAGGCTAAAATATGATGTGTGTGTGTGTGCACTGCTGCAAGCCAGCCTATAAAGCCTAAAATAATAATTTAAACATTAGATGTGTCATGTCGGATTTCGCAGACGTCTTTCAGACCACATCATATGTCTTTACATACTAATGTCATACTCACAGACTCAAAAAGAAGGTCTGGCTTGATGTTCAGGTCTCAATGCAAAATCAGCAACACATTCACTTACATCCTCGGAAGACACGTCCATCACCAAGTTTGACTTTGAATGCACTCACAATCATCAGATTTATCCGGGAGGGTCTGAAGCACAACCAGTGTTACAAAATGTTCTTACATGTTACATGCAAGTACATATTTCCACCAGAGAGATCTCTAAATCTCTAAACCTTACATAGTGTAGCTTTAAGTATGTTAAAGCACTTTCTTATGAACTGCCCATTTTTAAGGGTTTTGTGAAAGGGATTACATCAGATTACAGTGATTTCTGGGCAAGTTCTGCCAATTTTGTCACTTGTGTTTACTGTTCCCTTGCCACTCCGATGGCTCATCTAATACATTTCACTTAAGTTAAGAAAGTAATATAAAGGCCCTTAAAGTGCAACAGGGATTCCCCCAAAGGGGAAATGGCCAAACCAAGCGGGTAAGGGCATATCACAATGAGTGTTCTTGTTATATGTGGTCACTTTGGCAAGTTGATTGTCAAATTGTGAATTGTTTTATCTTTGTTGCATGCATGTTCCTTCCATGTGTTTGACATTTGGGATGCAGTTCTGTACATGGATGTTGTCTGCAATTGTCCTTAATAATACAAGCAAACTGTCTTGCAATTTTAAAAAAAATGTGACGTTTTCCTGTTTGATAAGAGCTGCATCAGATTAGTCATTAACTACTATACAGCTGCTGTGTATGGAGTGAAGAAGAGAAGTCTGTGCCTACCGACAGGTAATTAGAGTTTAAGGATTTCTGCTTTACAACAGGCTAAAGGTAAATTTTTAACAAAACCCTAGAGGTCCTTAAGGGATGTAAATATTACCTGGTGTGCCATCAAACAGCTGTGTGGGTGCCGTGATCCTGACAGCGAGTGGGTACTTTTACCCAGGCTGAGCTGCTGTGTGAAGGCCAATGTCTGATTGAAGATGCTGTGAGAGAGCTTGCTGCAGAGGTAGCAGAAATGAACTGTTAGGAGCCATACACATTGATTGCTGAGGCTCTGTTTTATTCATAAAGCACTGCCCAGGGCCTCCGCACTAGCTGGCAGTTGATGCGCTGAGTGTATTAATACAAAGGTGTTTTTCTGCTCACTGGTCTGAGAACATTGCTCTTTTGATGCTGTATTCATGTTTTTGTCATATTTCTTTCTCCATGCATTTTTATTTTTGCCATTGGAATCATCTAAAGAGCATGAAATGTGTTCAATCAGTATTGTATTAAAGACGCTTAATAGAGATGGAGTAGAAATCTTTGGTAACGCTTATCTTGTTTTTCCTCAGCACTGAATGAGCCCACCATCGACTACGGTTTCCAGCGGTTACAGAAGGTCATCCCCAGACACCCTGGTGATCCTGAACGCTTACCAAAGGTCAGTGCTGGAACATATCACTGTATTAACATGATGACAATGTCCTCTTCCCCATCCTTTTCAGTTTCCTTCTACTGTTCCTATCACTGTTTCATACCTTCGACACTCAACATATTACTTAATGTTCATACAGTGCAGTGCACCAAGATGGCTGCTTTTAATGGCTTGTCTAATTTAATAGTAGCATGTCGTAGCAGGCTAGCATAATACACTTTTAAGAAGAGAGACTCTGGTAAGTCCCTGAGTTCATCTTTCTGTCTTACTCTCCATCTCTACCCAGTCCCTCTCTCTAAGAAAGACCCAGTTGTAAAGTGTGACCGTGTGTTTATTTCCCCCTCCGAGCCTGCACCGCTTCAGGAGGAGCAGCCTGTGTAAATGAATCCTTTGGGAGCGATAAATAAACATTACTTTATCTTGTTGTGCGTGTCCTATACCCCTGAGCCCCACGCAAGCTGCAGCACTTAATAGACTAAAAAAGAGTAATTATGGCTGGCTGGCCCTGCTCGTTCGCAGTCAGCCCAGGCCTGACCTTGTGCTGTTAGAAGCCCTCCCCATATTAGAGTTGGGCTATTGGTATTCATTGTCCATGAGACACTGCATCCATTACACCTGTAACATGACTGAATTAGACTGAGAGGTCAGCGCACAGTACATCAAGCCAAAAGCCCATCTACAAGGCTAGCCATAAGAATGTTTTTTAGGGAGGAACCTCTTTAATGTTTTAAGCTCGACCATCATTGTTAGCAAAAAGGCAGATTGTACAGTAAGTGACAAATGTGTGGAACAGTACTCCGCAAATGCTCATGACATATACACATCATGCCTGGGGTATCTAAAAAGTTTTTTTATTCATTTTTATTTCATTGCAAATGTTTAGGTAATATGTTAAATAAAGACAAAATAAATAAAAACCCAAATCCTGCATTTGCCGTGATACAGCAAAACACCCCTTCACATATTGTGTCTTCAACAGCCTTAAGGCGAAAGCTTTTACATAGCTAAAAAAAAGTCATTGTGTTAAAGTATTAGCTATAATAGCAGCATTGCCATTAGTACAGCCACAATGAAGAAGGTTTATTTAGCTTCATGACTTTTTCTCAGTATTATATAAAATAGTTTAAAAAGCCCTTTGTTTACCAGATATTATTATGATATTGTAATAAAACTATTTTAAACCTAAACAAAAGTTTGGAATATCAGTTTTAAATAGCTGTACTATGTTTGGATGTCAGTACATGTACAATATATACAATAAAATAAAAATTGAAAAAGTGTCCACATGATGATACTCATGGTAAGTATGTTTATCATACAGACCTATTGGGAGATTTTGGGGTTTGACAACTGTTAGGACACAGTGGCAGAGCAATTTAAACTTTACGTAGAGCTGTGAAGGTGCTTGGCATAAAATAAAGCAGGGGAAATACCAGTCTTGAAGTTTTTAAATAATATATTCATATATTTATGAATGCGCATCAGCTGCGCATATCATGATATGTCTTGGCGGTGCTTAATTTGGTAGCCTATAGGCTACTTAAGTATTGTTTGTTCATCCACCGCTATAATAATTCAATTGCTGCTAGTTCCCTAATGATTTGTTCTTTGTTAAGTTAGTGTCAGGCTCAAGAGTTTAATACTACACAGCTCTAGAACAATTGAGTGGACATTTGAGGCTTGTAACACACATTCAAGTAACATATCTGTTTTCCTTCAGTGAATATTTCAACTTGAAGTAATATTAGCTTAATAGGCCTTTTACTTCATATACACACAATTGGTGAACCCAATCATATGTGTTTTCACCTTTTTGATGGAGGATATGGTTCTGGCACCTCTCCTTCTGCCATGCCAGCTCCGCTTGCTGTGAATATTTACATCAGCATTTCTTAAACACTCAGAAGAGGGAATGCAAACATGTGATCAGAACGTGATAGTGTAATGGGAGCTTGTGAAAGCAATGCTGCTCTGTCTCTAAAAATCTCTGATGAAACTGCAACTTGTTTTACTAAACTGCAGTGAATGTATTTCAAAATGTCCATGATAACATTACCATGCATGCTTAATATTGTGGCATATCAAATTAACTAAAATAGCAACACGTCTAGTTTTAAATATATATATCATATGAAGTGACTACATTGTGTTACATCAAGGCATTTGTGGTGCTAGGTCAATAAAATAATTGCTGTTATAATTTACTTAATGTGCTTTCGATATTGTTGAACTGAATATATCAAGAAGTGCTTTATGTGAGTTTCAGAAGCTATGATGTCAGTGTCATGAACAGTTGAACAGTTACAGATTCTAAAGGCAATACTCCTTCTATCTTTCGCCCTCTCTCGCTCTCACTCTCTCTTTTTCTCTCTCTCTCTCTACTTCCCACCCTCCCTCATTTGCCATTCCCCAGCTGGCATGGAGAGGACAGATCTACAGGCCTCTGTCAGTGTGGCTAAACAGGGCCTCGGTGTTTGATCTCTGTCCCTAATTCACCACATGGACATTGTCTGCATGCCTTCCACTGCAGCCACACAGGCTGGATCTGCTCTCGCACCCACAGTAACCCTCCTCTCTGGAACACACTGTTGTTCTGACCCCCTTACTAACATCCTCTGAACTTCCATAACCATCAGCCACATCTTGCAATATGTTACATTCATAACAACACTGAACAGGAGATCAAAATGATGAACATTTCAGACATCTCCGGAAAAAGTCAGGACAATTTGAAGACTCTCAACTTGTATTCATTTAAAGAGGATAATTGCAGTCTGTTCACAACCCAAATAGATTTGTTACTGTGCTCTGCAATTCTTTAAAGGATAGGAAGAGTGATCATTCTTTTATGTTAATGGTACCCTGGTTAATTTTGTACACGCTGACATGCTGTGTTATTCACACATGATTGGTGTGGTTTTAACCTGGGCTTGTGCTGGACTCATTTCACTGGGCCAGTGATGAATTTGAATGCATTAGGCAGGTCATGGCTGAGGTCAGCCATCACATCTTTCCTACTGTTTTCAGCACGAGGGATGCAGATCAGAAAACGCATACGGCCTCCTCCCTGGAGAACATTCTTAACGGCGTGCCATATTTTTAACGGATTCCCTCACTCACAGTTATAATGAATAGGGTTGGACTCCCACCAAGTGCGAGCAGCCTTGCATGTACAGCATGGACGCATGTGAGTGGCGAGAAGGAAAAAACACCCAACTGTCTTCCACCATCAGGCCGCTCTAGAGTCAGGTGTTGGGGAAGTCCCAGAGGATGTGGTTATGTGTTGGTTTGGTTATATAGATGGCTGGTGTGGTTTGGTTTAGAGACAGCCAGTAGGACGTTCCTGTTAAAGGAATACTCCAGCATTTTTCAAACTGATCTCAGTAATTTTCCCAAATTTCTTAGTACTGAGAAAAGAACAGAAAAGCTTTTGAATCTACACACCTATAATAGAAGCCAATCGGCAGTTGCTAAATTATGTGAATAAATACATGGCTATGTAATGCAATTCAAATTCTATAATTGTTACATTCTGCAATATAATACAGTACTTAGAATGTGGCACTCAGGTATCCATGCACAATCAGGTAGGAGCTAGTGAAAGCCTCACCCACACCACGACTCTAGCAATAAAATACAAGAAATTATTCCTTCTAGTCTTGGAATTTTTGCAACAGAATTTAACTATTGCTCAATGACTTCTTTTGTAAGTGTATTTTGTTTAGTAAGTTTAAGAGTTTTTTTCTATTCTTTTCTAAGTTATTGTTCACTGGAACATTTTAACAATGATAATAAAAATAATGCATGTTGCATAGAAATGAACATGTAGCAATTCACCCTGACAGTATGGCATGGTAAGGGCTTCGGTCCCTAGAGTAGAGGTGAGAGAGAGAGGCATAAAGAGAGAGAGAGAGAGGGAAGGAGAGAAAGAGAGGGATCCAGGTGATCCATCATGGTGAAGTCAGCTGTCCGGGGCTGCCTTCTCCTGGGTCAGGCGATCGAAGCCACCACCACCCGCACTTTATTATTGCTCGGCCAACAGTAATTGAGTCACCACAAGGGGGAAGAAGCAGCCGGAATAGAGAGAGAGAGAGAGAGAGAGAGAGAGACGGAGGGAGGGGGAAGGAAGAAAAAGAGAGGCTAGGTAGCATGCAGGGAGGAAGGTAAATGAGAAATCATTTCTCTGCATGGCTCTACATATCCGATAGATTGTGGCGACAAGGTTGATGTGTGCAGATGGATTTTACCCTCATTTTCTGTGAGTAGTGCAGGTTTTAGCCCTCTCCTTCTGTCTCTTTCTCTCTCTCTCTCTCTCCCTTCTCTCTCACTCTCTTAGTTTGTCCTCTGCTCCCCCTAACACTCGCAGCCAGATATTAACAGTGTCGGGCCGCTGGGCCCGGCTGCTCATTTCTGCACTATCGATTTTGCCCTTTATTGAGGTAATAACAGTTTGTTGACGGCACTTCTCTCAACTGCTGGACTCAATCACAGGTGAGGGGCAAGCGGGGAACAAGGCAGGCTAACTTGTCTCCCTCAATCACTTGGCAAACCAGCTGGCGTGTTAGCCAAGCCACTAAAAATGGTAAAAAAAAAAAAGTAAAAACAGCTGAAGTATTGCATTTTCCTTTATGGTTCATAGAAAGCCACACATACTAAATCTTTTTCTTTTTGAGTTACATCTCAGTAAGCAGCATTGCTCTCCTACTTAACTTAGAATATACTGTTTTTAACTGTTATCACAATTTTGGTCTTAGTATTCATATCATTTGCAATATGCAGATGAACTAGAGATCTGCTATCTGACTCAAGCTATAGAGTTTTTTAGTTAGTTTCTGTCAAAACTTAGTTGCAAAACAAAGCCCTGGAAAACCATGTCTGTGATAATCCATGCAGGCCGTTGGGTTCAGGCATCACATTCATGCCTGGGCAGACCTCCAGTCACAGAACTGTTATTGTGTGCTTTGAGCATCCTGGCTAATTAAAGAGGTTCCTGAAGAGTTTTGTAT